GCTTCCAGTTTTAGCATAGCTTTAAAAAAAAAATTATCTGGTAGGAGTGCTTAGCAGCTTAATCAAGTATTTCTTCAATGAAAATGGAAAATTCTCAGTCTGGGATACACCTGTTTTCTACACATAAATCACATGTTTCAAGCACTGAAGCAAAAATTAGCAGTAAAGCAAACACTTTGTGCTCATACTTATCAGAAGCAAATAATAATTTTGAGCTTTATCCAGTATTAGAAACATTGATGCCTTTAAGTAGTAAACCCTCAGACACATAACATTGTTTCAATTATTTTAAACTTTAAAAAAAAAAAAAAATCCTGTCTAAACACATGATAACTTGGCGTCCGCTCAAAGATTGTTTAACGTCAAACAATGCCACCTCCTTCTTAAAAGTGTTATTAAAAAATAAGCCAAATGAGTAACTATAGGCAAATTTTTCATAGCAAGACATACATTCCTTTTCTTCTGCAAGTTAAAATCAGAGATCTAATCTATAATTTCATAAATGTTTTGAGATACTCCAAAGGCTTTCCCTTTCAAAGTAGCATCTGCATACCAAAGAATTCTCATGGTGCCTCTTAAAAAAATTTGGTACAAACATAATATAAATGATGGAACCTTTCTGGAATGTGCTACAAAGCCTTTGTGGTTGAAGACAACTAAGGAACCAGTAACAAATCTATTTTTACTTATAAACATAAAAATCCTGCAAAACACACAGAACCTGATCTTCTATTACAGAATTTGAAGGGAATTTAACCACCACCTTTACTGCAGAAACAGGGCCTTAAGCTGTACTGCTGCAGTGATCTACACGTTCCTCGCTTCAATGAGAAGAATTAAGTACAAAAGCAACCTCACTGCACTATGGCTAACACCTTACGTGGACTGTATCAACACTGTTAAAATTCATTTGGAACTAAACCACTGGCTTATCAAAAGCATATTTCAGTATTTCCTATCAAATTACAGTAGCCTTGTCAACTTCCACAGGACTGTGCTTTGGCTGCCTACACGGTGTCGCCTGTGTCTGTGCCACAGCTGGCCAGTGTATAAACGCATCTTGAGGAGAGAACTTCTGAATTAGAGCCACAGCAGATAAAAACAAGCGGTTACTGTAAGCTTGCCTAAGACACTGAGCGATGAGCTTTGAGCTGCATAGGTAAGGTCGTTATTAGAGCTGTTGGGCATTACTGAGTTTAAAATGGACACTGCATACCTAGTACCAATTCAGCCTGACATAGCTTTGGTAACACCATGTTTACAAAAGGCACCTTGATTTTTGAAACACCGTAGAGCTTTCCAGCTTAACAGACTACAACATATCCAACTCTTTTCCTTGGATGATTTTCTTCTGCCCTCCTTGATGCTCCAATTTACTCAATTCCTCACTTTCCATTTATTTACCTCTATAGTGTGATATCTTCTATCATTTGGTGGGACATGCCTCCCAAATGCCAAACTTCTGCCTTCTATAGGCAACTCCCATAACTCAACACATGCACTCTGCTAAGGGCAGGGAAACCAACAGGCCTTCATTTGACATTTGCTCATCTTCCCAACCTGCAACTCCCTGACCAGCTTCCACAAAGAACTTTCCTATTGAAATGAGAAAGTACTCAAAGCATCTTCTCCAGTTACTGTGATATTCTGCTCAAACGATCACCAAATGAAATACTCCGAAAGCTTTTAGCTCACAGCTGTAAAACAACAAAACACACAGCAGCAGCACCAGCAGCAAACAGTAGCAGCAGCACAAGACATGCAGTGAGATAAATACATGATCCATACATTAAACAAAGGCATGTACATAACAGGCAAAAAATAAAGGGCCACATAGAGTAGGACAGCCTCTTACACGTCTGCCTTTGTTAGCTGGAATACAGGAAGGAGAGCGCTTTAACAAAGAAAGGAGGAGAATATGTTACAAAACCAAACAGTGACACATACACCAGCTCAGAATTCATTGCTCTGTATCTCCAGAGGTAGTGTTTAGACACACACAAATGTTCATTTTTACAAGTATTTTGAAAACAAGATATTCTGGGACAACAAGAGGTAAGAAACATTAAAACAAAAAAGGAACAGTTATTTTAAAGTCTGTAGTTTTACACTGGACACAGTGCAAGTGCACACTACATTAGACTAATAATTTGCAGTTACCATCTCTGTTTTTTGAACAAGATTAATAAAACAATCTCTTGGAGGTGTAATATGTCCAATTTAAAGTATCCTTAAGAACCAGAATTATTCTAAACTTAATTATGGATGTGCAGGTAGAGTCAGGGCTGTCAACACACACTCCTGTGGCTTATTCCATTTCATAATGAGAATTCAGAACCTGATTTACTCTGTGGTTATTTACAAAGTTCAGATTTGTTTTGTCTAACCAAAGCCCACAGGGATTGCATGTGAGGACAGATTGCAGGAGGATTTAAGAAATCTATTTTTAATTAATAATGTGTTGACAATAGGGAAAAAATAGTATTTTCTGGCAAGTGGGGAAAATAATTTTGTCAAGGGAAAATGGGATTCCATTTAATTGTTATTAAATAATCATAAATTCATCTTTAAATAAAACAAGTTGATTGCTGGCAAAAAAAACCAAACCCCAACACTTCCATTATCAGACACTTCTAGTGAACACAGAAGACTTAACACCTAGACAACGTTACTGAGGACAGCCTGCAACACACAGGAGAAACAGCGGCAAAAACTTAGAAATGAGTTTATCAGCCACTGGCAGTGACTTCCCTCCCCATCAAAATCAGAAAACAGGGACAGCAAAACCCATTCCTCCTCCCCTTTGCAGCCTCCTGCCTGCACAGGAGATACAAGGATCACTTCTGAATGCAGGGGCTTTTGCAGCTACGAGGATTTAGGCACCAGTTCTGCCAACCTGACTAAGTACCTTTCTGTGGATTTGAGGAGGGACAGCTGGAACCAGCAGTGACTGCTACTCATCTAAATAGTGAGCTACTAGTTTTCTTGCTCAGCATCTGCAGGCTGTAAAGGCAGCGGGACATCTATTTTTACTTCTCTCCAGAAGAAATTGCAAAGCTATCGGTTTCCTCATTGAAACAATTAGAATTAACTCCAGTCATTCACAGAGTGCTATAAATAATTACGTTATTTGGATAGCAGACACACAAGACACACCCACCCTAGTAAACTCCAAACTCAGTACTGCTTACACATCTATACATTAAAAAAAAACCCCGAAGAGATCTTGCAAAGAGTGCTATGTAACTGCAGCTGCATATTAGTTTACACGCTCTGTCATTCCAAGCTCAGCGGCTGGGGAAACAATACAGGTCATTAGTAATATTTACTTTGGGTTCTTGATTACAGGAGAAACTTTCCTGACACCCATGCAATACTGCAGCACTGCATGAGTCTGACCTGGGCACTTCTAATTTTTCCATGGTCTTAATAAAAAGAACCCACGCACTTCTCAGGTTTGACTGAGCACAGATTAATTCTTCTTGAAATGCTACAAGAAACACTGCCCTTCCAGGTAGCTACTGCCAAAAAGAGATATGGGAAAGGGAATGCAGGTCACATCCAGTGAGGAGGGGTTTTTTAATATCCTGATTTTAATTTACATCTGCCTAATACATCAATATTGAAACAACTCGATGAGCTAAAACATAAATAACCATTTTGATAATTCAAAGTCTACATATTATGAATCTCACTATGAATTAATCCTGTAATTGTCCAATAGATGAAAGATGCAGAACTGACTTTAAGCACATTAATTATACCACCTTTCACCTACTAATGACAACATCAGTTTTCTTTCTCTTTCTAATAAAGACAGGTAGCTCAAAAAGTCTTGTATTTGTCTGCAATGTACTCTTCCTATCTTTTAACAGTCAACTCTCTTTTGCAGTTTTGCCCCATGAGACAGAAATCTGCCCCAGTGTTAGAGACATCAGCTCCTGGCCAGTCCAGTTCAGAAATGTACTCTTACCCAATGCAACTGAGGAAAAAAAACAAACCTGTGACTCAGACTGAAGATGGAACAAGGGAAGTTTGATTCTATGTGTATTAAGTCATTCACATGCTACAGTATACATAATAATAGCTGGAGTTTTACCAAAAACTGAGAAATGAAAATATTTGATCTGTATGGACCAGTCAAGGTGTGTATTAAGTTATTCACATGCTACAGTATACATATTAATAGCTGGAGTTTTACCAAAAACTGAGAGATGGGTATCTGAAAATATTTGATCTGTATGGACCAGTCAAGAAGAATGTCTTAAAGGATGTATGCCAACAGCTGAAAATTACTCACTTGCATAGTAAAAAAAAAAAAAAGTGTTTTTGTCAAAATGCTTGTGAAAAAAATATGCTGCCTTCTTTGAAAAAAACCAAAACCAAACCAAACAATAATCAACCAACAATAAATACAGAATAAAGTAGTGATGTCCTTCAAAACTAACTGGACAGCAACCAGGAAAACTTCTTTGTCCTAAGTTTTCCCTTGCAAAATATAACATTACCAGTATTATATATTTTTAAAAGCAACTTTCTATGAAAGAACCTGCTGATACAAACTAAGTGTTCCTAATACTCAAGCAACAAAGGGAACATTTCTTTAATCCAGGTAAAGTATATACATATTACTCATTCATTGTAGATTGAACATGACAGAAAACTGTGTTCTCTTTTTTTGGTGTAAGAAAATTACAAAAATATCAGCAAGACAAGGTTTTCTATATGCTATACACAAGTGCAGAGAAATACCTTCTACTGTGGTATGAAAAATGTACCTTCACATTTTGACTAGTGTATATACTTGATTTACAGAAAAAAAAAGCATCTAGAAGAAAAACATTTTTCCAGGGTTCATGAAAGGAAATGAACTCCGCAGAACAGGCCCATATACTATATCTTCTTTGTTACAACCCTCTCAGCAGATATTTCTAGAATAAAATTAATTATATCACATTTTAATGAAAATAGGACTATACTATGTTAAATATATATATGTATAAATATGTGTGTATGTGTATACACATATATACAAGCACACACAGATGTACACACACAATATACCTATAAAGCTGTAATGGATGGTTCTCTAACATGAATGCATAGAATATACTCTGATTTTAAAAAGCCTATTATTATTTACTTTTATGTGCCTACTACTTCAGTCTGAAAGAAATATAATGCAGTCAATTTTCAGCCCTTATTTGCATACTAAAAGAATTGCATTAACAAGGGTAAATACTTGAACACTGTCTTAACAGAAAACTAGCTTCTCAAATGGCAATAAAAAGTAGTAAGTTACTTTAGTTATAATGAAAATTACTTCTAACAATATAGGCTAAAGGCACAATATTTTATTTGAGCAAATAGAAATTAACTGTATGCATGGAAAACATTTTCACTGCAGTGACCACAAATATTTTGGAAACTACAAATGACGAAGTAATAACATGATGCAATAGAACTAAATGAAATAAATGTGCCAGTGGTTTTGGAACAATTTTCCAGAGGCCATATCAGTAGATGAAGCCCAAAAGTAGCTTCTCCCCATTAGAATAACTGTGTGCAATTAAGAATTCTTCACTTACTCCTAAAGAAAAACATTTACTCTAAAACTGAACATCTGCCTATATAAATAGCTGTAAGTATGCTATTACAGAAATATTCTGTTCTCCAGTGCACTTAAAGATTTTTTTCAAGTTGACTGCATTAATGTTTGAATATTCCAAATCAATCAACTGATCTCTGTTACTGAGTTGAGAGATTTACTGGTTTGAAAGTCAAAGACTTACGTCATCCATAAAATCAATCAATGAGGATGAAGAGGAGGAAAAGGAATCCTATTTTAATGAAAACAGCAGTAAAAAAAAGAGAGAGAGAGAGAGAGAGATGGATGAAGAAAACTGTTCAGTATAAATAAAAGTGCAAAAATAAAGAACTGTAAATAACTAATGCCAGTAAGAGTTACCTCAGTAAGTTTTTATTAATTGCCTTTCATAGACAATTAATCAACAAACTACTTGTATAAAACCCTATGTTTTCCCAGTATTCACTCAATAAAATAACATTCCTACATTCCAACAAGATTTTTATATCGAAAGTAACTTATAAAACAAATAATTAAAAAGAAAATTAAAAAATGGTATTACTTGTGAGGACTTCCAAGAGACAACAATGAATTAATGAATAAACAATGAAAACAAAGTAAATTTTGGAACAACAATAACATCAGGGATTATGCTCTTTCACAGCTAAGTGTGATGACCTTGCACACCCATCATGAAAAAAAAAGGTGCAAATTTTAGACCAATGTGTAACTGTAAAGATGGTGCCTTGTCCCATCTGACTTCCGTTTGACCAACATTTCATCCCAGCCATTATTATTATTTTTTTAAATGATGCATTGCTCACTGTTGATTAAAAAAAAAAAAAGATATGAAATCTATAGTATCATTTCAATTATTTTCTTCCATATTTTCTACCTAAATTGGTCTTTTTTTCTAAAAGTGACAAAGGAATTAAACAGATTTATTTTTAAAGTATATAGGATCTGTAGAGAGGACATGAATAGTCATTATCTGTATTTTACAGATCTGTGCAAAATGAACCAAAGATGAAAACCACCTAATAAATATACAGTACCTATGACTTCATGGAATACATTCAAGGATTATTTACGTATTTTCTCTCATTTCTCACTGCAGTATCTGCATTACTTAGCATTTTTCTGAATACAAAGAAAGGCCCTTTGAACCACTGCGCTTTTCATGTTCACTACAAAATCAGGAAAATTTCTGCATACAAGATCCAAGAGAGAATTCACTATGATTACTAATGTTCAAGAGAATATAGACAGCACTGTAAATGACAAACAATTTTCATATATTATTATACACAAATATAAATGGGGCAATATGATTAAAATACATTAGCAAGCTCTCAGCAAATATCCATAAAACCTGCACATAACAGCAGTAATTCCAGTGACGAACAGTTAGAATAGCTGTACACTTACTTCAAATTGATCCAGAGCAGAGGTAGGCGCATTCAAAAATGCCAAGAAAGAATTCTGTGAGTCTTGGTGCTTTACACCTAGAAAACAGCAGCAGGTTTTTAAGCTACAGAAAAATGACCTTTTCAGGGAGGACCTTTGCCTTGCTGAATCAGGGTCTGAGTATCCACCTGAACCACCTACAGTTTTTTAAATGAGTTGTCACATTGTGTCTGTTTTCCAGAGTAAAAGGTTTTTTTAATAGACATACACCCACTAAGCAAGCAACCTATGTTCAATTAACCTTTTCCAAGGTAGGACGTGTGCGGTGTGAATTCAACATGAAAATGTACACTATGTACGTGTCTATTATGTAGAAGACACAGGTTTCTGTCCATTTGCAACATGCACTGCATGACAAACAGGCAAACACACTAAGGCATCCCTGCTCCTGTCACACACTGGATAGCCTACTGTGACAAGACAGCTGCTGTAGCCAACAGTGAGGTTTCACAAGAACATACAGAACAGGCTGTTTGGGGAACACACCACACTTCCAAATAACAGGTTCCTGGACCCACGCTCTGAGCCTGTCCACCACCTCTCACTTTTGAACACCCAGGAGTAACACAAGCCTGGAGAAAGCTTCAAATGTCTCTGTCTCGCTACACCATTTACATGGTTTGCAGCCAGTAAGCAGAGCAGGAACGCTGCATCCTCTGCAGCCACAGAGCTGGCACACCTTGGCTGCTATTTTAACTTGCTTTAACTGATACACCTTTTTTTTTTTTCTTTTCTTTGGGGCATTACACAAGTTGCTGTGTGGGTGTTTATAAATCACACATATGTATAAATTCCAGCTTCCTGAACATTACAAATACATTTTATATATATATATACTTATAACCAGAGCTTGCAGGACTGCATCTCAAAAGAGTGATGCTATCAAAGGTCTTCATTCTTTAAAAAAACATCAGTGTCTTGCTCTAACTGGCCATATCACCTTGTTTGCTCTAAATACAGTGAATAAAGAAGTTAGAGTCCTTTCCTCTTTAAAAATATAAATACACTGAAACCTCAGTAAGAGACTAAAAACAATTCTCAAATTACCTGCTACTGTACAGAATCATTTTTAGTAATCCTTTTCCACACCCTCCTAAATTTCTGGACACGTTTATAAACAGGTAAGTGTTCAAGTGCTAATCTAAGTAATCACTTCCTAACACAGCAAGTTAATCTGCCAGTGTATGTTGACTACATTTGAATCCTCTATATAGTTAATGATTTGAACTTCAATATATTTTTTCTTATAAGAGAAAATCAAGCCCAAAGATAGCAAGGACTTATGAATTAAGGTGTATTTCTATCAAAATATTTGAATAGTTGCAGTACAATCTTATCAATTTATTTCTGGCAAAAAGCATGATAACTAACTTTTCCTTGAACAGTACCTTTTTTTTTTTTTTTAAAGAAAATAATAAATGTTTATCTCTATTTTCACAAAAACAAAGGTTATAAAAACTGGAAAAAATACAGGGTAAACTATTAATTATAAATTCTTAACAGACTGTTTAAGTTGAATATTTCAGAAGCTGAGTAACTTTGCATAATATTTTAGACAGTTCAAAAATCTGTAAGTGAAAGCTAAACATGACACAAGCATTACTGTCTTCAAGGAGGTGCTATCAAGAGTTCCTTTCCAAGCACTCAGAAAAAGTATAATCCTGGTATCAGTGCTAAGCATCAAGACAAACAAACAATTCCCTAAATCTTGTTTGCTAATCCACACCATTCATTTTTTCAATGTTCTGTATAGGTTTTTCTTTTTTTTACCAGTCAACCAGCACTTGGAGGCCTATATACAGGAGATGAAGGTTAACTACAATACATTATTGACTGACATGCTGTTAGGCTGCAAAGGCTGAATAATATTTGACAACCCTATGCAGCAATTGTTGCCAGGGTTTTGAAACTCTGGAGTTCAAACAGTTCCCTACGGAAAAGTAGGTAATTCCATTTGGCCTGAAAAATTACTTCTTCCCATGTGACTCATAAGACACAAGTATTAGAGCTACTACAGGAACTGCAAAGAATCAGCCAAATCATTAATCATCTCTCAATGAGTATTTTTTTTTCATTTATTTCAGGATTACCAAAAAGTCTCTTCTCCCAGCAACAATGCGAAATACTGTTAGACAGATGCACTAGAAATCCCAGAACATACTCTTAATACCACAGCAAAGCGAACATGACCACACTGCTCACTACGTGGTTACAAAGCCAATCAACAGGCATCTCAAACAAATGAAAGCTATGAACGCCTCTGCAGTTTACTCTCTGTGCAGACAGGCCCAAAACATTCACAGATGAACAACACTATGATTAGTTTTGAAGTTTAAATACCTTCACCCATCATAAGGGCGGGGGGGGAATAAATATATCTATACTTCTAACAAGTTTTCTGTCAGTAAACCATCATACATGTATCAAATAAAAGTAATGCAGTTGCAACTCAAATAATACCTTACTGGTTCAAGTATATCAACAAAACTGAAGTATATTACAAGTGCAAATGCAATTGCTGTGGGTACATCTTAACATGCAATTGTTGTGCTCACACTTTGTATTCTGTTCATATCATATTTAAGTTGCAAGGTGACACTTAACTGATAAGATGTACCCACCAATGTGAAACATATTATTTACTTGGATATCAGTTGCCATACCCTTTTCTGATCTAAGCTCTTCTGTCTCCTTTTTCAGCCTTTCAATATCTGTTAACAGTTCCATGTTCTTCTTCTCAGATTCTTGCAGTTTACTTCAAAAGAACACAAACAAAAAAAAACTATGTAAATATTGAGAACTCATGATACAAGGAACTTTTTTTTGTTCATCTTTGCATGATGTTTAAAAATTAATGCACAGCAAGCTTCATGACATCATCAAATGCGAGAAGGAATTCGGAAATCTATTAGAACCTGTGTAAGTATGGTATCTTAAAAAAAAACCCCCAACAAACCCCAGAACAAACAATTAATTGTCCCTGTTTACCCATTAAACAGGCTCGTGTTTCTAATTTATGAGTAATTGTGTAAGCCTGTATCCTGTGAATGAGAAAAAAAGACCACATGCATTTTAGTGCTTAAAAATTGTGGGGTGGGAGGTATTTGTTAATTCACAGTGCCTGTGATACTAATCAATTATGCTGAACCATTGTTCTTCTCAGTCACTTCACAGTTGTTTCAGTGTTTTCCAATTCACAGCTGACAGGGAACATTACTACGTACTTCTACCACACTTCCCATCCTTGCCTATCAGAGAAAACACTGCTTCTACTGTTCTTAGAGGATTTCCAATGCTGCCTATCATCAAGTTTCCTGGCCTGAAAAACACCCAGGTAAGGTGGACAAGATATTACTACTTTACAGATAACATACTTGAATCTCAGCTCTGTCCAGCTGCTTTCCTAAATCTGCAAAACAAGTCATTGCTCCTCAGATATGACTGAAGAGAAATTCTTCATTTTGCTTGTACTTGAAATTCTTACACCACATCCCACCTCTTCTCTGCTAGAAGCTATTTCCAGGCCTTGTACTGTCTATCTACATGCTAGACACTGCAAGCTGAGAGAATTGCTTCTGTAAAAACTGTTTTTGTAGAGAAAGCAGTAAGAGGAACAGAATGAGAGTGCTTACTTCAACCTACACCAATTCAACTAACACTGCATACTCAGCCCAGTGGGATTCATAATTTGGAAATGTAAGTACTGTCACATCATAGTACAGGTCCAATTTTCTTCTCGTGGCAAATTTGCCATGCTTTCCTTTAAGTCAAACTACAAAGTATCACAGGAACTATGCAAACAATTTGTATTTTGTATTCAATCAAATTTTTACATTTTATCTATTAAAATCTCTGCTTAATACAGTTAACAGCTTGTAAAAGGAATCAGAATCATAGCTAAAGAAGTTCAAGCCTTTCTTTTTCAGCAGAGCTTACTTGCAATGGTTAGCAGCAGTGCAAGCTTATTCTTAAACAAACTTCAAACTCTAATTTGAAGGATTCTCTTGTAGGCATAGAAAAGCTTATGTTTTGTCTTTGATTTCTCTGTCCAAACTAAAAGGAAACAACAGGCACCAGCTTCAATGGTGGGTACCATGAAGAAGTCCCGTGCCAACGGAGCTGTTCACAGGGCTCCAAGAGACTTCTGTAGTTCTTTTGGGCAGTGTTGAACTCAGCTAGATTGAAGCTGGAGATCTAGAAATGGAATGTCTTCCTACTAACTTCAGGCATTCACCCAACTCAGAACAAATTCTGTAATTTAAGGGGGAGGGGGAAGGGAGACAGGTCTGACGAAGAAATTAAAGAATTCATAATCTTCCATAAGCACAACTTATTACTCTGTAAATCGATGTGCAATAACTGATTTTTGTCAGTTTACCCAACAGAGTTATCAGTAGAATGGAAAAGAGTATGTTTTAAGACACAAAACCAGACTCTGCTTGCATTTGAACTTGTCATCACAACTAGGACAGTCTGTATTATTAAGGAGAAAGTGTCCCCTTTGAAAGTCTTCAAGATTTCAAAGTTTCCCAGTAAGTGTTCAGCTGCTTAAACAATGAAGAGAGATATGGTCTTTTTTTCCACATTTGGATATAAGAAACTGGCATATCATTCACTATTAAATTTTGACAGACAAGATAGTTAAAAACATGATTTGATGACACTCCCTGGGAAGTATCAAAGTAAATTTCTATCAGAACAATTCAGTCTTACCACTCTGTCGAAATACAGGAAGCTTTGACTTTATTCAACTCATCCTGAATAGCCTGTTTGGCTCGGATTTCAGCATCAAGAGCAGACTGCAGTTCCAACCTTGCAGACATATCCAGTTTTGCAAAACGGCGCATCTTCCAGGGCATGTCCTAGTAAAGAATAAAAAAAGGGAGAAGAGTGAGAGGAAAGAAGACAGAAAATGAGGAATGTAACTAATTCCAACAATTAGATTTCTCAGGCTATTATGTTCTTAAGAGAAGAATTAATTAATTCCAAAGTAATCGAAAGTTAAAAAAATATTATAATTGTTATCATTACTTCTAAACTCAAGTACTAAATAAACAAGACTAATGTCTTATGCAGTCATGTTCTCAACAGCAAAGAGATTTTGTGAAGTCTAGTTTTGATGTGCCTTAATTCAAACGACATGTATGAAGGACATGCACTTTTCACAAGTGAAAGATTTTAAGGCTTTCATGACCCAAAGATTTCCTTCAACAAATTAATGTATGATTATAAAGTAGCTTCTTGAAGAATATCGTAGGTAAAATCACATTCTAAAGGTATTGGTGTTTAATTAATTGATAAACAAGAAAATTGCTATTGAGTTATTAAGAAGAGAAGTTCTAGGAAAGTTTAACTTTTGACTAACAGACTCTACAGATAGGTTATTACTGTATTTAAAACTAACAAATTAGGTTTTTTTTCCAAACAAACAAAAAAAATCTGACATATAGAAGTAGAGTCTTACTGTAGCTCTTGCACCCAAACTGGAGTTCCTCAGGGCCTCTAGTTCTTCTGTCATTTTAGAGGCCAAGGCTTGAAGATAACCTCGAGCATCTTTTTCATCACTTACCCTAAACAATTACATTAGAAGAAAAAGGTTTTAACCAAAGGATCTAAGGTAAAAAACAAAAGTCCCTTCAACAAAGTAGCAATCAGAAGAAAGCAGAACAAAACAAAAATCACTCAAAAAGGAAAAAAAAATCCTCTAACACAAAACTAAGCCTTTGCTGCTCTGCAGAGTTCCAATAAACAATATGCATCACTAAGACAAGGAATAATGTTTGAAGAACTACATATCTAAGCAATACCTGTCTCAGTATAAATGTCAGCTACTTGAAATTGAGACTGGGGGAAAGAAACCTTTCAGGATTCAACCTATTTTTCAGGAGTAAATTAAGACAAAATTTGTAACTAATAATTAACAATTAAACCATCCACAGAATATTGGAACAAGTGGTTGACTTCACTGTATCAACTCGCTATGAGAACTAGTATTTAGAATCAAACATGATGTTATTTCAAGAAATGCTAATTAAATAAGGAGAGTCTAATTCTAATGATATTAAACAGCATAAGCCAGAGTAGGCTCTCATCCCCTGAACTTTCTTTCTATCAAGACATGTTTTCTGGGTGTAAACACATCAAGGAGGAGACCTGTCTGTTTTTCAGATTCTTTGATCATCAGTTACAAAGAAAGAAAAAAACCCCAACCTTACATGATTAATCACAGCAGAAGGTTCTTTCTTCACTTTGCCTCAGGTATTATACATACAAAAGAAAGTTGCTAAAAAATTACCTCACTGAAACCAAGTAGCTCATGAAACAAACAGGAAAACAAAACAAAACCCCACCCCCCACATTTCCTTTCCCCTTGTATGCCTGGCTGTGAACGTACCTTGCCTACAGGAGAACAAACTAAGTTCTGCAACACCAGGGCATACTCAAGTCTCTAAGCCCCTCCCAGAGACTACCAGTCTAATACCACAGCTTGACCACAGATAGATCTATCAGCACTAATCACAGAAAGGTTTAGGATGTGCTCTAAGTACTGAACCTCAAATAGTTTTAAATAAGTTATAGGGAAGTGGAAAAACAGTTTTTCTACTTCATGGAAATTAACTTATCCTTGCTTCCTGATCTTTCCTTAGTTACTGTTATCCCAAGTATGTTGGTCTGGAGATGAGAGTTGTCCAGAAGGATGAATTTGTCACATAGTGACCTTTCTGCTGAAAGTTATTCCCCCTCCCTGCCTAGAAAGCAATGTAAGTTTCTCTGGTTGATACTATGGGCTTCATACACACAGTGAATATGGAAATAGTGCTACTTGCAAGATTACCAATTAATTAATAAAAATAATATAAAGTTTCAACAAAGATTTATAGATAATCACCAGGAGGAAAGAAAGACAGAGAGCACATACTCTGAACTGCCATGGGCATGGGAGGACCAGAAAAGCTTTCCCATAGGGCAAGGTGACAATGCAAAAGCTATGGCCTAAACATCTACAGGTTGCAGTGATTTCGGGGCATACAGTTTAAGTTTTATATAAAGAAGACTGCTTTAATATAGAGGATGCTAATGTGAAAATAGTGACCATTTGACACAAAATTCCCACCCACCATGAAAAAGTAAGCACTTATTCATGCTTTGGGCTTTCTCTTCTTTTCTCTCCTGCCTAAAATTTAGTTCAAGAGGTGGGAAGGAGCCTAAGAAGAAAAAAAAAAAAAAATCAAACCCATGAGCTGACGCTATTTAAAAGTCAGTGAGAGTTTTGATCTTAATGAGTCAGTATTTTTCCCAAGGTAAACCAGAACTCAATGGAAGAAGCAGCATGCCCACTATTTTTTTTTTTTCCCCACAACATCCTGGATGAAACACATTTTGATGACCAGATACAGATAAAACCACTTAGGGTAGAAGAGTGGGCAAAAGATGTGAGAAGTAGCGTAAAACGCTTGGGAGGGGCGGGGGCGGGTGCATAATGAAATGCATAGTAAAAAGAAAAGGCTGTAAGTAGGAATAATGTGTGAATAAAGTAGGAATAGTGTGAAGTTCTGAAGGTGAGAAAGAAAGTTTTCCTGATGCAGAAGAAGAGAAAAGATATTTAGAAATCAGCATTTGATCTTCTCTGGTTTTAATGACATGTAAAATCTTTGCAGAACAAAAGTGACAATGTCAGATTAAAAATAAAATTGAATTGGTGCCTTATTTTTTAGCTTTTCTAATTAAAGCTGAAGAACTTTAAATGTCCAATTTATTTGTCAATATTTATCCTGCCACATAGATCCTTCCTCACGGAAGGCGAGAAAATACTTCAAGTATTTGGTTTATGATGCACAGAACCTTCAGGCTCTGAATTCTGAAAAGCTGCACATGCAATAACCTCAGAGAGATGTTCCACAGAACACACAGAAATCTAGAAAATGGAAATATACACAGAAAGTCAATTTTTGCAAAAATCTGTGCTGAGACAGTAAATAAAAGCAGCAGAATTTAGAGCTGAGAGACACAGAATCATAGAATGGTTTGGGCTGGAAGGGACCTTAAAGATCATCTAGTTCCACCCCCCCTGCCAGCAGCAGGGGCCCCTTCTACTAGACCAGGTTGCTCAAAACCTCTCCCAGCCTGGCCTTAACCACTTCCAGGGAGGGGGCATCCACAGCTTCTCTGGGCAACCTGTGCCAGTGTCTGACCACCCTCACAGTGAAGAACTTCTTCCTAATATCTAATCTAAACCTCCCCTCTTCCAGTTTAAAACCATTTCCCCTTGTTTTGTAATTAACTGCCCTTATGAAAAGTCCCTCCCCAGCTTTCTTGTAGGCCCCTTCAGGTACTGGAAGGGGCTGTAAGATCTCCCTGGAGAGGTGCTCCAGGCCTCGGATCATCCTGGTGGCCTCCTCTGGACTGTCCACTAGATGGCAACATTCCGTCGATCATGCGATACAGTGATTGAAGGGGAACCCAAGAGCTCTGGGAGTTTTTTGTTACTGTTTTGCCCAGGTTTTTTTGTTTGGTTGGCTTTTTTTTTTTTTTTTAATAGATAAAGCAAGAATGGTAAAGTTACTCCTGTCACTAATGTTTCTCTCCTTGCCCCTCCTGCTTGCAGAGAGCCCAGCAAAAGACCTAAGGAAGAAAAGTTCTTTAGGTTCCACCCAGAGTAATTTCTTTGGTTATTGAAAATTTAGATTAGATTAACTGTTCTGCCTTCACGTATAACATAAATGCCCTTGCAAACTTAGTTCATTAGCTATAAGGAACATAAAAAGAGCTATAGTGCAAAATCCTTTAAACATTAATTTCACTTTTTAGTTGGAGACAAGATAATGACAACCTTCAAATAACCTTGACCACTACCTAGTATGTTATTTGTCAGGCTGCTCAGAACCTCAGACACTCTGGGTCTCTCTATCTGGGACGCTTTACAATACAAAATGGACCCAGAGGACTAGAGATTTTTTCTGGAAAGGAGGGGTCTTGAAACCCTGGGATCTTATACCAAACTGCATCTTACCTGATTTAAAAACCCCAAGGAAGTCTGTGGGCCATGACTCCCATTTCTCCTGTAGTTTCTCAATGCTTTTGAATTTCTGTCTTCATATCACTATGCTCAAAGCCTCCAATTTATTTTTTTCTTTTTCTCATACCCTCTCCAACAAAATTTGTTTTTTAAAACTACTTCTCTAAAAATTTTCAACACTTCAACTCTGCTCCTAAATCCTGAAGTTTCCCCCTGCCCTCCAGAATTTCTATTTTATAGATAATTAACCTCTGATTATTCTTATGTCAAACAAAACACATCTCAGAACTTTTCATGTTTTGAGGTTCTCAGAGTTGAATTTGCCCAGAATTTTTGCTAAACCTTTCCCACAATCTGTGCTTTCCTCTGAGAGTAACTAGATTTAAAAAAAAACCCCAACAAACCAACCAACCAAACAAAAACAAAACAAAACACACGCCAAAACCCACCAACAAAAAAACCCAACACCCCAAAACTTTGGGGCTTTTTAATGTTTGATTTAATGAAGAAATGTTTGGGGATTTTTCTGGGGTTAGGTTTGGGGTTTTGTTTGTTTTTAAATGAAATCAATAATAAAGATAAAATCAGTCATAGTAGAGTTGATTGGAATCCCTAGTCATGGGATTTGTTTTGGTTGTCTACCTTAGGACTTCTAAAACCAGGTTACACAAATCCTTCCCAGGGAGACTAATAAGTTAAGATTCTTGCCAAGTACTCTGGGAACCACTACCAAGGTTTCCACTGACCTCCTTTCTGAAACAGAACAGAAATACGGTACCACAGCTACTCAAAGGACTCCTTTTTAAAGTGACTGCATTAACCTTCTATTCAATGAATCTCTTTACCACCTCCCATAGGAAAATTTATAGCTGACTATAAAAGCCTCAATCTTTCTTACTCTTGTCAAGGAATGATGAGTGATTTAGCTAATAGAAACTTGTCAGTGTAATAGCTGCATTAAGGCTGAATGATCTGTGAGGGTCTATTGCTACCACATTAGAATTTGCAATGAAAGCTTGATTCAAGTGTTTACATTAAGATCTTGGCTATGTTTATGGCATCTTGGGATAATGACAGCAGAAATAAAAAGACTTTTGGACATTTGCCCTAAACAAGATGCAAGAGAGCACAGTAAGAAAGCAGGGAAAGGCTAAAAGGAGCACGATGGGCCATTGAAATTACTCACTAGTTATAAAATCTGAAAGAAATAATAATTTAGTAAGGGCCTAAGGAGTCATGAAGAAAGTGACAATCTTAACCACCCAAAATGTGGACTCGAAGACTGGGGCAGATTTCTTGAGAGAGGTATCTATTCAATGGTAAAGCACTCGAAATAAGGGACTCCTTAGGCTTGTGTTACTTCAAACAGGGCTAGAACTTCAACTACCACAGGCAGCTGAGCAAGCTGTTTACAAAACCTGTAATTAATTCCATCTACTGCCTCCTATACTTTGTGAATCATGGTACAAAAAGAAGATAGTAGGCAAAATCCATTTTTAAAAGGTGGAAAGTATGCATCCAAAATATGTATTTTCAAGTATAGTTATGTGAAAAATCTGTTAGTTTTGAAGGGGGAGTCCACAAGCTCTGTCCTACTTTCTTAGTGCCAAGGCATTCTGCTGTCATACTGAAGAGGTGGGCAGGTATGGATTTCAATCGCATGTTCTTCTGAGGGAAACACAGGTTTGTGACTGATTAAATAAGATCAGTTTTCTTCAAAACTAGGGTTTTTTTCTTTTAAAATGTTTATCATTATAGATGCTTAAATACTCATATAGCACTCCATATATCACAGCAAAAAATTCCCAGAGAAGGACCTAGTTTCAGTATGCAGTGCTGAATTCTAAGGACAGCAGATGGACATTAGCAGATTATCTGGGTAACACATGGAAAATCTAAACATAGGAAGAAAAAAATGAGCCAAGATATAGCCTCACATAGCTGAAAAAAAAAATAACATAAGCAGAGAGAAGTATGGAGGGAAAATTGAGATGTGTACAGTGATTAAAAACTGGAACCAAGCCAGATGTTTTTAATCTCCTTAATGTTTGCCCACAGTACTTCTACTATTTTTTTCTTTTCACATAATTCTTTAATTTTTAGTTCCATACATTTGAAAGACATTGTATTATCATAAGGGATTAGTAAAATGGTATTTTTCATTCAGAAAGTTAGTCTTACAAGTTCCTGATCTTTTTTCATTAAGCATCTCTAGAGATAAGAAAAAAATCCAATCCCAAATGTCTTTTACCCCACCAGTGACACCTCTAATATGTGCAAGATGCATTACCACATACCTGAACCACATCAGTAGTACATCTTAAAATACTAAACACTCTCATAAATTGGAGAAGGGACATTCTTAATGGCTGTTGGTAGACTTTTACATAGTGTTAAGTAAAACAATCCACAACTTATTCTGATTTGTCTTTTTCCAGAACTGCCAAGTTTTATGAGTGTTTTCACATGTAAATCTGAAAAATGGGGTTTGGTTACCTCAGTGCATTAAGATAGATAAGCATTACCTGAAAACAATATGGAGTGTGAATTAACAGACTTGTCTCTCTTGTTACCTTGATTTTTTTTTTCTGAATAAACATTTCTGATTGGCTAGAAATTAACTGTTAATTTAAACAACTTTTATGTGCTTTTTGTTTTCTGTTGGTTTTTTAATTTATTTATTTCTGTGATGCAGCCCGTCTACTACACTCACAGTTATGAGAGACAAGATTTAAAAGGAACACATGCAAAGTGGACCCTTTAAATTTTTTATCCTCTGCTATGAATATAATGCTGTGAGGAGCTGCGCTATAGACTTATCTCAAAGATTGTTTGCAAGGATGGTCACAAGACCACCGGGTTCTGGGAACCCCGCTGTGTGAAGGCGCCCTGCCCGCAGGGGTGTTCTTCCCGGACATGTCCCTGCCCAAGTGCTGGGGGGGCATGAAGAGACGTGCCATTGCTATGGAAACTACAGCCCTCGAAGGGGTATTTAAGGAGGACCGGCACGGGCAAGAGCTGCTAGCTGTTGGCGGCAGAGAGACAGGAGAGAGACAGGAGAGAGACAGAGGACAACCGCCTGACCGCACCGCACGTCACCACGCCGCATCACCACTGGAACGAGCAACTGAGACCTCCTCGCCCACCCCTCACCGTCGCCTCGCCGCTGGACCCGTGGTGGTGACTATTCTTGCTCCCCTGTCCCGACTCCTTGCTTGATTTCCCATCTTTTGTTCCATCCTGTCCTATCGCTATCCTCTTTATTACTCTTCTTTTTCTAATAAAATATGTTCTGGCAGTACGGCATGTGACCTCGTTTGTGTCTTAATCTCGCTCTTGGGATCGTATCGAAACCTTCCCCGACATCGGATCGGGATATTTAAATGATCCCCGACATCGGATCGGGACAAATGCCTCGAGACACTATGGACTTCATATCACAGATCAGTGTTACATATTTTGCGTAACAAACTGCTTAAAGCACTTCTAGAAACCCAGAGGACAGCTCTTCTTTCTTGTTATGGATTCACATGGCTATAGTCAAAAGCAAAACTCCTCTGTATTTGGACAACAAAATGATACTGCCATTACATAAATACCAAAATATGTTTCAGTAAAACAAGTGTTTCCCATTTTTGCTTTCACACGACAAATTAGATTTTTTCACTAACATGAGATGGGGAAAATTGTGGAAAAAAACAATAATCAAGTAGTAAACAACAACAACAAAAAATAGTATATGATGATGAAATCTTCCCAGAAATAGATGATCTGTAGAAAAAATGTCTGAATGCAAACTGGTTTTGTAGATGTTAAACACTGCAATGGACCATAAAAGAGGATGGGAGAGAAGCAGGCATGGAAAGGAAAAATAAAGGCCACCAGGATAAAAAAAATCTTTTTCTCTTAGTAGGTTCAGCTTGAAATTTTTTTCCTTAATTTATTAGGACTGTATGGAAGACTTCAGAAACATAATGTCATTATTTAGCAAAAGTATTATTAGAAACATCACTTGACTGGCTTTGTGGTAGTCTCAAATGCCCTCCTTGTAAAAAAATCAGATAAATGTTGCACTGTATTTGTTTCATTCTGCCACATGCCAAGCAGATGAAGGAAATTAACGTCGAGACACAAGTACTCTCAGCCACTGCTTTTCCCAGGCCTGCTCTTCCTTGGAGGCGTGAGCTCAGCACATGACTCCTTCCAGCATTCTTCCAAACCACAAGGCACACCCAACAGCCATGATGCTTCTGCACTTAAAAAAGTTGTATTTGCCAAGACACTTTTGCTCTTAAGGAGGAACACAATTTTCTGGATTTGGATATTATTAAAATCTCAAGCAAAAATACAGCAGGCTCCCAGATGGGTGTGAGATTTCACCTAAGCACTTGCAAATCCCATGTGCAAGGGTAAAAAAAAAAAATCAGTAACAGCTCTACCACATATTGTGGGGGTTCTGCAACAGCATCAGAGCAGAGCACTCACCATTGGATGATTTCAGTAATTTGGGCCTCCCAGTGGGCCACAGACTCCTTTTTATCAGCCAGGTCTCTCATCTCTTCTTCCAGCTGCCGGTTATTCATACTCAGCCTCTCAAACATGGTGGTGAGCTGAATGAGAATTTAAACAACTTGTTAAAGGTGTAAGCTGCTGTGTCTCCATCTCTGTGCAGACTCAAAGCCATGTGTTCTCCTCTCCATCATGCATCTGATTTTAAAATTGGTACTACCCATCACAATAAACATCATGTAACAATAAAAGCCAGAATCTCTACTCATGTATGACCTTAGCCCTACTGAAAGGCCATTTCTAAGGACTAGAACTACATTTTTACTCTAACACATTAATTAGTTTTCTGAGAACTGATTTCTAAATACCTCTACAACTCTTAGAAGGTTTTTGCTTTGCACCATATAGGTGTGGAATGTTCCATACAGAAAAAACTACATTAAAAGAGCAAAGCAAGGGCACAAAAATTGTTAGCTCAGATAAAACTGCTGA